TCTGATCTAAATCAAATGATTCGCGTACCCGCTCCGAAGTTCCGATCTGAATCAAATGATTCGCGAACCCGCTCCGATCCAAGTTCCGATCTAAATCAAATGATGTGATTGGAAATGTGTGCTTTTCTGCAGACCAACAGAAAAAATAACTATAAAATCAGGGCTCTCTTCCAGAGAGAGATAACAACAATTCCTTGGGAGAAAGTATGAACCTTGCCTCAGGCATCTGCTTACAAATAAAGCGAAAGAAATAACATTTAAATTGATTCACAAATGTTACCTTACTTGAAAACTGTATTTTTAACAAACAACAACAAAACAACAACAAAGTAATACATTTACGTCTTAAGAAGACACAAAGGATGAATAAAGAAATAGAGTTTTCTTTGCTTTCAGATGAACAGAATTTTGGATAGTTTCCATATACTTGTCTAAGTCAACTCTGGATAAAGAAACAAGAGGTTTGGAGCCAATACATTTTTGTTTGTGCATATGAAATTTGGCTAGCATAAATTAATTATGTAATATTTTCCTGTATCTTTTTTAAGTGGTCAAATAATCCCCCAAAAAAACATCTTTAAAACAAAAAGAGAAGTCACTTACAAAATAAAATTGGACAAACATTAAAAATTCTGACCAAAATTTTTCTGTAAGTGCATTGCCAAAACAAACGAATGAAGTCTTCTTCAGCAGAATGACAAAAACTGCAATTCACTTCAATGTCTGACTTATATTTCCTAAGAAAGGCTTTAGTCGGGTAACATTTGTGAATCAGTTTAAATGTTATTTCTTTTATTTTATTGGTATAAGCAGATACCTATAGGCAAGGTCCATACTTTCTCCCAAGGTATATTCTCCACAATATTAGTCCAGTATGGTATTCCGTAAGGAATTGTTGTTATCTCTCTCTGGAAGAGAGCCCTGATTTGATTATTTTGTTGATCTGCAGAAAAGCAAACACTTTCAATCATTGTGTCAGTTATGTTCAGAGAGTACACTCTAAAAAATGCTGGGTTGTTTCAACCGAACTTTGGGTCAAATATGGACTAACCCAACTGTTGGGTTACATTTTTACATTAAATTTTTAACCCAAAAGTTGGGTTAGTCCATATTTGACCCAAAGTTGGGTTGAAACAACCCAGCATTTTTTAGAGAGTAAGTACATGGCCATGGAAATGTAGTACCTTGCAACAGAAAAGACACTGGCATTGAAAACAACAGCATATTCATGAGCAGATACAGGAATATAGATATACAGGAAGATGTGAGCGTGAAGTGAGAAGTCACCAAAATAACTGTCTGTGACTCATTCTCTACAGATCAACGTTTATGCGGTTGAATCATGTAAAGTACATCGTGCACCTCGGCGGGAGATTTACACATGCTCATGCATTCATACAAATCTAGGGCAAAGGTTCAATCTGGGAATTCAGGCCTCAGATGACCCGCCAATGCTGCAGAGTGAAGCCAGTGTCGTTTAACAGTCTCATAAAAGATGATCAGGAATAGAGTTTGTGCAGAACAAGCTTCAGCAGAGAGAATAAAGCGACGTCCCTGATAGACTGTCTGCTGTGCTTTGGCCTGTTGGGTAACTGTTATTTAACAGTTACTAAACCGAGTATGTAACCAAAATAAACGGGGAGAGTAAATGCATACGTTTAACAGTCAACCATTGCAAAACCCATACAGATGAAGCACTTCTCTGAATACTGGAAAATATCTTTGATTTTCTAAAGGTTTGCAAAGTGATTTTTTAATTGAAGTATTTTTTACAATTAAAAATATTTATTTCATTTTATTGCCTCTCTCTCTTTCTCTATACTAATTTAAGTTAAAGTTTTTATTACTTTAATTTTTTAAAACTTTATAAGGTCAATATA